GATCACCCCAATGATACCAACACTTTGGTTAACTCTGACAACTGTGAAATATAACCAAATATATAAAACACAAAATGGTATCATCTCCGCTAAGGAAGTCCATAGGATAAAACCGTCTGGACACAGGAGCAGTGTGAGGCTTTCTTTCCTCTCCAAATTGGCATTTCCTCTCCAAAACCCTATTCCCTAATACAAGGGATCTGGACCCAAAACTATAAGGTGAACTGAGGACTGAGTGGACTGCTGAAGATACTGTTTTACTTCATTTGGAGGTCTTGTTAGACCTTACTATGTGCCCTTCTGACCACTCAGAGTGGCTTTTTACTTGTGAGTACAATATATATCTTTTATTGTAATATTGTTAATGGTTTTACGCTACGTTATGTTTTCATTTTTGTTTGACGTGAAGACAGGGAGTGGGCAGGCTTATAGGAAGGTTGTCAGTGACACCATTGGGAATGGAATGGCCCTGTAAAATTAAGGATGTGTCAGTCTGGCATGAATACATACAGGCTGATAGACTGTCAGGTTGGCTCCCACTCAGAGCAGCAACATGCGCAGAGTGATTTTAAAGCTGGACATGGGCTTACTGCTCTTTCAGTGGCACTCTAAATGGTAGTGAATTAGGGATAACAACACACAAGAAGGATTTGGGAATTGTTATAGACAACAAACTAGGCAACAATGTGCAATGTCAATCAGCAGTGGCTAAGGCCAGTAATGTTTTGTCATGTATGAAAATACAATTATAAGATGTCATGGCACTAGTAAAAGTGCAGAGACCAGCTACAACATTAATTAAAAGAATGGAAGATTTTAATTATGAAGAAAGGTTCATAAGTTTAAATCTCTTTAGTTCAGAAAAACGTCACCTCAGAAGGGATATAAAATTATACAAATATATTTGGGGCCAAAACAAATTGTTGTCTGGAAATCATAAACAGGTCTATAAATAGGACACGAGGTCACACATTTAGACTGGAAGAAAGGAGATTTAGGCTAAGGCAAATGAAATGTTTTTTTACAGTAAGAACAATAATGATGTAGAATTCTTTGCCTGTATAGGTTGGTTTATCAGAGTTTGTACAGATGTTTAAAACATGATATTCAAGAATATAATTTTTAATAGGTGGGGTTTAAGCGTCTTGATTCTAGAAGTGATCTAAACACCATTCTGGGGTTTTATCTAGTTTGTTACAAATTTAAAAAGTGTTTGAAAATGTGTATTTTTGCCCTTTTTTAGATTAACTGCAAAACTAGATGTAAGGCTGGACTTGATGGACGCAAGTCTCTTTTCCGCCTGTGTAACTACAGTCATGGGAAAAAGAAAGTACACCCTCTTAAAATTCTATGGTTTCACACAGGACATAATAATCATCTGTTCCTTAGCAGGTCTTAAAATTAGCTAAAATTTGGTATGGAGCAGGTTAGTAAGTAAAGCAGGAATGCAGAGTTGCTTAGGCCGGTATGGAGCAGGTTAGTAAGTAAAGCAGGAATGCAGAGTTGTTATGGTTGGTATGGAGCGGGTTAGTAAGTAAAGCAGGAATGCAGAGTTGTTCAGGTTGTGTGATGCTTTTGTGTAATACCTCTTTAATTGGAACTCAACTGCAGAATTTTCTGAGGGCAGGAACAGTAAGTTTCACCTCCTATTATATTGGAGTGAAATCAGTGGACTGTATCTTTAAATAATAATCAGGAAAATGCCAAGTTAGTTCCAACTTGAATTTTAATAATGAAGTTTTAGCCTTAGCAGCAATCCTTATTTGTCAACAGAGAGTTTAAAGAAATTAAATACTATAATTAATTGATATGACTTGCTTTCCTTGACAAAAGATTTACTTAACTTAGAAGCACTCTGGCACTGGAAGGGTTAATTCACCCAATGGAGGAAGAGGAAGGAGTCTCTTTTAACAAACTGCAGTTTAGTAGTGAGAGAAAGGAAGTCCGTTTGTCCAAGCCGAGGTCTGAGAGAGGAGAAGGTAGAAATCCGTTTACAAGCCGAGGTCTGGGAGAGGAGAAGGTAGAATTCCGTTTATAAGCCGAGGTCTGAGAGATGAGAAGGTAGAATTCCGTTTACAAGCCAAGGTCTGAGAGAGGAGAAGGTAGAAATCCGTTTACAAGCCGAGGTCTGAGAGATGAGAAGGTAGAATTCCGTTTATAAGCCGAGGTCTGAGAGATGATAAGGTAGAAATCCGTTTACAAGCCGTGGTCTGAGAAGTGGAGCCGGTAGCATCGAGTAGAGCAGCTGATCTCACTGCCGCACCTGAGTGAATAATCCAGCACTTTGAATCTGGCGCGGTCTTCCTAAGTATCGTGGAAAGACCGCGTCAGAAAAAAGGGGCGGAGCTAAGTGCCGTGAACCCGGAAGTGGGTTCCGGCGGCAGCATGATTGTTAGGTATACCTGACAGTACCCCCTTCTCATGGGGCATCCTCTGGGTGCACTTATTTCGGTTTAAAGGGGTAGCGTTTGTGAAAAGCATCAACTAATCTCTTAGCATGAACATTAGATGAATCTTCCCAGGTATCTTCATCTGATAAGGTATTGTAAAGAGCCACGGTGGATACAAGAATCCAAAATCTTATGAATTTCATATTCTTCTTCACCTTGGACGATGATAGGTTCAGGAGTTGTTACTATTTCTCTATGGAAAGGATCAGGGATGTGTGGTTTAAGCAAAGAGACATGGAATACTGGATGAAGTTTAAAACTTGGAGGAAGTTTTAATTTAACAACGTTATCATTGATGATTGTAGTTATTTGAAAAGGACCAAGAAAAAGAGAGCTCAATTTCTTTGAAGGACGGTTTGTGGTAATATTTTTTGAAGAGAGCCAGACAAGATCCCCCACTTTATAAGGAGGGGGAATTCTTCTATTATGGTCAAAAAACTTTTTCTGGTAGTTTTGGGCGAGTTGAAGATTCTCCCGTAATTTAAGGAATAGAGAAGACATAAATTCATTTTTTGAAGTAACCGTGGGATTGGATGAAGAATTAGATGGGATGGGAAATGAGGACGGATGAAAACCATAGTTGGAGAAAAAAGGAGTCATTTTCGTACTAGAATGAATGGTATTATTGTAAGAAAATTCAGCCATAGGTAACAAAGTGGTCCAGTCATCTTGCAGGTATGAACAATAACATCGGAGATATTGTTCCAAACATTGATTAACTCTCTCTGTTTGCCCATTAGTTTGGGGATGATAGGCAGAAGAGAGTTTGCGTTGAATTTGAAGAGAGAGACACATCTCTTTCCAGAATTTGGAGGTAAATTGTGTCCCCCTATCAGAAATAATTTCTTCTGGAAGACCATGAAGCTTTACAATATTATCAATAAAGACTTTGGACAATTCTACGGAGGAGGGTAATTTTTTTTTAAAGAGATGAAATGGGACATTTTAGTGAAGCGGTCCACAACAACAAGAATAGTGGTGAACTGTCGGGATGGAGGAAGGTCAACAAGAAAATCCATAGAAATGGATTGCCAAGGTTTTTCTGGAATAGGTAAGTTAAGTAGTAATCCAAAAGGTTGGTTATGTTCAGATTTGGACCTTTGACAGATAGGACAAGTTTTGACATATAATTCAATTGTTCTATCTTGGCGAGGCCACCAATAATATCGTGAAGTTAGTTCAAGAGTTTTCTTTATTCCAGGATGTCCAGCTAGGGGTGAATCATGAACCATTTTGAGTAATTTGTTCCTAAGAATGGGAGGAATATAAATTCAATTTTTAAAGTAAAATATACCATCCTTTTTTGTTAAATTAGGTGTTTTGGGAAGTTCAAAATCCTTTTGATTCAAGTTCCTTAAGTCATCCTGAAGAGAAGAGAGGATCCCTATTATTTTGTTAGGAGGATAAACATCAATAGAAGTTTTAGAAGGAATTCGAGAAAGAGCGTCAGCCTTTTTATTTCTAGTTCCAGGTCTGTATATTAATTGGAAGTTAAACCGGTTAAAAAATAGGTTCCATCTAACTTGTCTAGCCGTAAGGGTTTTATTAGTATAGAGATATTCAAGATTTTTATGGTCTGTATAGACTATGATAGGTTGATTTGTATCTTCTAATAGATGGCGCCAATTTTCAAAGGCAGCTTTAACACTTAATAATTCCTTTTCACCAATAGGATAATTTTTTTCAGCAGAGCTCAAGGATCTTGAAAAGAATGCGACTGGATGAAGTGGATCTTGAGGAGTCTTTTGCTGAGAAAGAACTGCTCCGATAGCTGAATCTGATGCATCGACTTCTAGGACATACAAGAATGTTGGATTAGGTAGCTGTAGAATAGGTGCAGTTGTAAATCATTTTTTTAAACTGTCGAAGGCAGCTTGTGCATCTTTATTCCATTTGAAAGGACGTTTAGTACTGTTAAGGAGGTTAAGTGGATGTGATACCTCTGAATAGTTTCTAATGAATTTTCTATAGAAGTTTGCAAATCCAAGAAATCGTTGCAATTCTTTTGTAGTAGTAGGAACGGGCCAGTTAATAATACATTCGATTTTAGAGTTATCCATTTTCAGAGAATGAGGTGAAATAATGTATCCAAGAAAGGAGAGTTCAGTAACTTCAAAAAGACATTTCTCTGGTTTAGCGTATAATTTGTGAGTTCTCAATCTAGATAGAACACATCTTACATGCTTCCTATGTTCATCCAAATTGTTAGAATATATTAGAATATCATCTAAGTAGATAATAACACAAACATCTAAAAGATCTCTAAAGATATCATTTATAAAATGTTGGAATGTTGCAGGGGCATTACAAAGCCCAAAAGGCATCACTAGATATTCGTAGAGACCATATCTAGTCCGGAAGGCGGTCTTCTATTCATCATCCTGTTTTATTCTAATGAGGTTATATGCGCCTCGGAGGTCGAGTTTAGTGAATATAGTTGCAGTTCTTAACCTTTCAATTAATTCATTTATTAGTGGAAGAGGATAACGATTTTTTATGGTTATTTTATTTAAGGCTCTGTAATCTATAATGGGTCGGATGGTTTGGTCCTTATTCCTCACAAAAAATATACTAGAGGCAGCCGGTGAAGTCGAGGGTCTGATGAATCCTTTACGTAAATTTTCATTAAGATATTCTTTTAAGGTCTGTAATTCCTTTTCAGAAAGTGGATAAATGTGTCCATAAGGAATGGGAGCACCAGGTATTAGATCTATTGGGCAATCATATGCTCGATGAGGTGGAAGTGTTTCCGCTTCTTTTTTACAAAAGACATCTGAAAAGTCAGAGTAGAATGGAGGTATAATTGATTCCTGAGTAGTTTGGAGAATAGGAATATGTTGGTTCCATTGAAATTGGCTGGATTATTCTGTGATGCTTTTGTGTAATACCTCTTTAATTGGAACTCAACTGCAGAATTTTCTGAGGGCAGGAACAGTAAGTTTCACCTCCTATTATATTGGAGTGAATTCAGTGGACTGTATCTTTAAATAATAATCAGGAAAATGCCAAGTTATTTCCAACTTGAATTTTAATAATGAAGTTTTAGCCTTAGCAGCAATCCTTATTTGTCAACAGAGAGTTTAAAGAAATTAAATACTATAATTAATTGATATGACTTGCTTTCCTTGGCAAAAGATTTACTTAACTTAGAAGCACTCTGGCACTGGAAGGGTTAATTCACCCAATGGAGGAAGAGGAAGGAGTCTCTTTTAACAAACTGCAGATTTAGTAGTGAGAGAAAGGAAGTCCGTTTGTCCAAGCCGAGGTCTGAGAGAGGAGAAGGTAGAAATCCATTTACAAGCCGAGGTCTGGGAGAGGAGAAGGTAGAATTCCGTTTATAAGCCGAGGTCTGAGAGATGATAAGGTAGAAATCCGTTTACAAGCCGAGGTCTGGGAGAGGAGAAGGTAGAATTCCGTTTATAAGCCGAGGTCTGAGAGATGATAAGGTAGAAATCCGTTTATAAGCCGAGGTCTGAGAGATGATAAGGTAGAAATCCGTTTACAAGCCGTGGTCTGAGAAGTGGAGCCGGTAGCATCGAGTAGAGCAGCTGATCTCACTGCCGCACCTGAGTGAATAATCCAGCACTTTGAATCTGGCGCGGTCTTCCTAAGTATCGTGGAAAGACCGCGTCAGAAAAAAGGGGCGTAGCTAAGCGCCGTGAACCCGGAAGTGGGTTCCGGCGGCAGCATGAATGTTAGGTATACCTGACAGGTTGGTATGGAGCGGGTTAGTAAGTAAAGCAGGAATGCAGAGTTGTTCAGGCCGGTATGGAGCAGGTTAGTAAGTAAAGCAGGAATGCAGAGTTGTTATGGTTGGTATGGAGCAGGTTAGTAAGTAAAGCAGGAATGCAGAGTTGTTCAGGCTGGTATGGAGCAGGTTAGTAAGTAAAGCAGGAATGCAGAGTTGTTATGGTCGGTATGGAGCGGGTTAGTAAGTAAAGCAGGAATGCAGAGTTGCTCAGGTTGGTATGGAGCGGGTTAGTAAGTAAAGCAGAAATGCTCAGTTGTTCAGGCAAGTCTGGAGCAGGTTGATATGGAGCAGGTTTGAAGTCAAGAAGGTTAGTCCACAGGAGCCAGGATCCAAAAGGGTTTCAGGCAAATCATCAACTTAATTGTAAAGGCCTTGTAGTAAGCAAGGTGTAGCTTTATGTAGGATCTCATTAGTTCAGGCAGGTGAGGTTGATGAAGGTGAAATCCAAGGTAAGTGATTGGGGAGGCCACTTGTGGTGGAAAACTGGTATCGCAATAAAATAAAATAGAAGAAAAAGAAATATATTCCTGGTTTCAGTTCAATAAACTTTTCATTATTATTATTATTGGTAATTATATATCGCAAACAGATTCCGCAGCACATTACAATATTATTAAGGACTTTAAAAGGACTCTTCAGTGCCAGGAAAACATATCCAGTTTTCCTGGCACTGCAGGACCCTGCAGGGCCACCTCCCACCCACCATCCCATGTTGCTGAAGTGGTTAAAACCCCTTCAGTGACTTACCTGAACCCAGCGCCGGGGTCCCTGGGCGCTGGGTCAGGCGCTGGGTCAAGCTCTGCCCACTCTCCTCCCCTGACGTCCAGCAACATTTAAAAATACTTTTCTTGTTCTAAGAACACGGAAGTCCCTCTAGAGGCTGTCTGATGGGCAGCCACTAGAGAAGGACTTAACTCTGCAAGGTAATTATTGCACTTTTTTAAAAACAATAATTACACTTGCAGGGTTAAGGTTTGTGGGAGATGGCACCCAGACCACTCCAATGAGCAGAAGTGGTCTGGGTGCCTGGAGCAGGGCCGCCATCCGAAATTTTGGGGCCCCTGACAAAGCACAAGGTCTGGCGCCCCTCCCGGGCCCGCCCACGCCCTACCTAGTCCGCTGACAATGATGCAGGACTGAATGTGGTGTGTGTAGTGGAAGTGAATTAGAATGTGTGTAATGGATGTAGTGTTTGTGTGTATTATATACTGTTTGTGCAGTGAATGCAGAGGGTGTGTTTGTGTAGCGGATGCAGTGTGTATAGTGAACGCAGAGTGTGTTTGAGTAGTGGATGTATTGTGTGTACAGTGATGTAGTGTGTGTTTGTGCAGTGGATGTAGTGTTTGTATGTACTAGATGAAATGTGTTTAGTGGATGCAGTGTCTGTAGTGGATGTAGTGTGTGTATTAGACGCAGTGTCTGTGTATAGTGAATGCAGAGTGTTTCAATTTGTGGTGGATGTAGTGTGTGTACTGTGAATACAGGATGTTTGTGTAGTGGATGCTGTGTGTACAGTTAATGCAGAGTGTATGTTAGTGTAGTGAATGCAGAGTGTGTGTCAGTATAGTGAATCCAGAGTGTGTGCATAGTTTAGTGAATGCAGAGTGTGTGTTAGTGTGTAATGAATGCAGAGTGTCTGTTAGTGTGTAGTGAATGCAGAGTGTGTCAGTGTAATGAATGTAGTGTGTGTGTTAGTGCAGTGAATGCAGAGTGTGTTAATGTGTAGTGGATGCAGAGTGTGTTAGTGTAGTGAGTGCAGAATGTGTTAATGTGTAGTGAATGCACAGAGTGTGTTAGTGTGTAGCGGATGCAGAGTGTGTGTTAGTGTAATGTGTAGTGAATGCAGAGAGTGTGTTAGTGTGTAGCGGATGCAGAGTGTGTGTTAGTGTAGTGAATGCAGAATGTGTTAATGTGTAGCGAATGCAGAGTGTGTGTCAGTGTAGTGGATGCAGTGAGTGTGTTAGTGTGTAGTGTATGCAGAGTGTATGTTGTATTAGTGTATGTAGTGTGTGTATTGTATTAGTGTATGCAGTGTGTGTTGTATTAGTGTATGCAGTGTGTGTGTTGTGTTAATGTATGCAGAGTGTGTGTTGTATTAGTGTATGCAGAGTGTGTGCTGTATTAGTGTATGCAGTGTGTGTGTTGTATTAGTGTATGCAGTGTGTGTGTTGTGTTAGTGTATGCAGAGTGTGTGTTGTATTAGTGTATGCAGAGTGTGTGCTGTATTAGTGTATGCAGTGTGTGTTGTGTTAGTGTATGCAGTGTGTGTGTTGTATTAGTGTATGTAGAGTGTGTTGTATTAGTGTATGCAGAGTGTGTGTTGTATTAGTGTATGCAGTGTGTGTTGTGTTAGTGTATGCAGAGTGTGTGTTGTATTAGTGTATGCTGTGTGTGTTGTGTTAGTGTATGCAGAGTGTGTGTTGTATTAGTCTCTGCACACTCTGCAGAGAGTAATGATTGTTATCCTTGGAGTCAATACGCTATTCTGAAAGGATCGGACATCTGAAAGGATCGGAGACTAGGGGAGAGTCCAATAGGGGGAGGCAGACTGTTCCATAAGAATGGAGTCGCCAGTGAGAAGTCTTGTAGAAGTCTAAGTTAGCAGTGAAGGTACAAGCAGCACATAGTGAAGGTCAATGGTGAAGCAGATCGGCTGAGCAGGAGCGTATCTATGAATTAATGAAGAAATGTAGCCGCGGGTAGAGTTGTTGAGAGCTTTGTACGTAAGAGTTAATATTTTGAATCGAATCCTATAGGGCGCAGAGATTTAATAGAACCATCGACAGAGGGGTGAGGTGTGAGAGGAGCGACAGGAGAGAGAAATCAACCTGGCGGCAGCATTCGTTACAGGCTGTAGAGATACAGTACTGTTTCTTGCAGAGACCAATGATTAGCACGGTGGATGTGCTCAAACAAGCATCAGTATCTGTGAAGTCTCACAGTAACAAAGAAGACTGACATTTGAATGAAACCCTGATAGGATGTAAGTTCATACTCCCTGCAAACAGTACTGCATTCACTACCAGCTGGGGACCTCTAGTGGACACAGCAGCAATAACCAAAGGGAAATGCAATATATGTTCCGTAAAGAAAATACCTGAGAAAATGCTAATTGTATTGTGTGAGTGGGCACTGGGCTCTGACTGTTACTGTCATTAGTTATTTTTGGTGTTCTATTTCAAACGCCTGTAATGGTAAAGAATCGAGGAACAAGTGACGATTTGTGTTTATAAGTAGTTTTAATGCAAGGATTGAATTCATGGCCATCAGACATGTGTTAGGCAGAGTTTATCCCAGTGTGGGCGAGAGCCGCCTAGCTCCGAGTAACACAATTGACTGATTCAGATTTTCATAGCTTCCTTTATAAAAAATATAAATAAAAAAAAGCTTGACTCATCTATTTTGTCCGTTTTTCATGAATCCTGCAATTGTGTCTGGTATGGACGATTTGATTTATTACTGTATTTAATAGACATTCCAGTCTGTAGTCAATGCATTATGCAGGCAGTGCATTCAAATATGCAAAAAGAAAGTGAAAAAAAGAGAGAGACAAAGAACTGATTGGCGTGAAAAGTTTTTTAGTCTGCCAGCTATCTTCCTTGATGCTGCTCGTATAAGCATGAACTTGGATTTGGTAGAAAACGGTGAGTATGAGACTGCATACAGGGCTGCCATCAGAAATTTTGGGGCCCCTGACACAGCTCAAGGTCTGGGCCCCCCGTCTCCCCCCCTCCCCCAACTCCGCCCACAGGGATGCAGTGTCTGCAGGGCCGGTGCAAGGATTTTTGCCGCCCTAGGCAAAAGTAAAGTTTGCCACCCCCCATGTGACATCACAATGCCCCACCCATATGATCTGCCATGTTAACTAACACAGTGCTGCAGTGCCGCCGTGTTTACAATAAAAGGCCTGCAGGGACAGGCTATACAGGGCCAGATTAAGAGCCCAGTGGGCCTGGTGCTGACAATTATGACGGGCCTAATTACAGAATCATATCGACCAAAAACAGTAAAACACTCCCAAGCATCATGTATCTGATGGAGATAGTGCTGGAGAGAAAGAAAACAGCAGCTATAAGAAAACACATACCCTAGGCTAATCTCTCACTAATTTATGTTTTCATCTTTCAAGTAAATCCATAACCCCTAACAGCAGTGTCCAGTCAAGCAGGAAGTCAATGAGCACGGTAAAAGGGTGTGCCACTGACACAAATCACGTAATCTGCCAAAAGGGGCGAACATGCCCAAAAAGAGGACATGTCTGCCCAAAAAATTAGAAGGCCAGCCTGGTATGAATGCATGTCAGGCTGCCTGCCAATCATGCAGCTGGCCAACTAAGGGCATACTATGCAGACAGCACCCTGAGCTTGGCATAAATGCATCTAATGGTGCGCTCGCTCAACGCTTTCTAAGGACTGTCCCCTAGCACTCGCTGGTCCACTTGTCCCCTTACCTTCTTACTAACAGGCAGAAGCTCCTGGTATATAGTTTGGGACAGAGAAAAGCTGTATGTAGTGAGTGTAGAAGAAAGGGAACATGCCACAGGGTTAGAGAGAACAAAGTCAGCATTACCTTAAAGGACTACTCTAGGCACCTAGACCACTTCAGCTTAATGAAGTGGTCTGGGTGCCAGGTCCCTCTAGGATTAACCCTTTTTTTTTATAAACATAGCAGTTTCAGAGAAACTGCTATGTTTATAAATGGTTTAATCCAGCATCTAAAGCCTCTAGTGGCTGTCTCATTGACAGCCGCTAGAGGCGTTTGCGTGCTTCTCACTGTGAAAATCACAGTGAGAAGACGCCAGCGTCCATAGGAAAACATTATAAATGCTTTCCTATGAGACAGGCTGAATGTGTGCGCAGCTCCTGCCGAAGAGGATGATGGGAGGCGGAGAGGAGGAGGAGAGCTCCCTGCCCGGTGCTGGAAAAAAGGTAAGTTTAACCCCTTTCCTCTCCCCAGAGCCCGGCGGGAGGGGGTCCCTGAGGGTGGGGCACCCTCAGGGCACTAAAGTGCCAGGAAAGCAATTATGTCAGGAACACAAACATGAATTCATGACCCTATAGTGTTAACACAACCATCTAGCCCCCCCTGGGCCCCTCATGCCTCCATAAATATAGCAAAATTTTACTGTATTCAAGCCTGAAGCTGTAACTCTGCATGCTGTTAGACTCAGAAAAACAAGCAGTCTGCTGACATCATTAGAGGT